TATTCTTAATAGAGTGCTCAATACAGAGAAGAGCAAATTTAATTATTTATTCGAAAATTATAACATAAATATGATATAATTGCTCTACTCTGTATTGAGCACTCTTTAAAGAATAGTATTTTTTGTTTATTGGATTTTATTCCGTATACACCAATCCTATACTAGGATATATATATATATATATATATATATATATATATATATATATATATATATATATATATATGCGTGTGTGTGTGTGTGTGTGTCTTGATATATATAGGTCTTGATAAGACACCAGAAGTGTTGAAACCAAATGGCTATTTTTGTAGTGATTTTATTACATATTTATATTATAATTTTCGAATAAATTCTCTCTCTCTCTCGCTATCTATCATCTATCTATCTATCTATCTATCTATCTATATATATATATATATATATATATATATATATATTTTCACGTTGTATTGGGTGAACTTGAGTCCCAGTAAACTTCAAACCATAGTGCTTCTTTGAGAGTACAGCCGTTCCTTGTGACAATAGATAATATGGGGTCAAATTGGTGATCATGAAATGATATTAGCTTGGGTTTAGAGGTACTGACATTTACAAGCTATTTTTCTTCATTAAGCCGTTTGAGAAAAGTCAGCAGAGAGGTCAGCAGAGAACATCTCGATTGTTGTAGGTGCTCCTGTAAACTTTGCTCTCGTCAGTACACACGTTTACAGAAGACGAGCAGAAAAAAAATGTGGATACATAACATATGGCGAGACGGGTAAAGGATAGAAACAAAAAAATCGAACATAGACGGAGAGGCTTTTTGGATATATGCCAAATGACAACAAAGGGCGCAAAAGTACCGATGCATTGAAATGATTAATGGATAGGGATGCCAAAATAAATATAAAAGTGCAGATGCGGTAGGAAATATTTTTGAATTTCGTATTTCTTTCTGTGGAAGTGTGACATCGAAATCCAAAGTGATAGAGAAAGATGCCTTCCAAAAGCTAAGCATAGTATTAATAAACAAGAAAATGTCTTTCGAAAAAAAGAAAAGAGTACTTGATCCGTTATTTAACGCAGATGAAGAAAAGACTTGAAGCGACAGAAATGTGGTTCTACAGAAAGATGTTGAGGATACCATGAACTGAACATGAAAGCAACGACGAAATATCTATGGACAGAGAACAGAAAGTGTGACACCGACATCAGAAGACGCATTGGGATAGCGAATGATGCCTTCCAAAACCTAAGGAAAGTATTAAGAAACAGGAAAATTTCGTTAGAAACAAAGAGAAGAACACTGAACTGTTACGTAATATTAGTCCTCCTATATGGCAATGAATATTAGACAATCTACTCACATATAAAGAAGTAACTTGAAGCAACAGAAATTCTGTTCTACAGAAGGGTGCTGTGAATATCATTGAATGTGACCAACGAAGATGTTTTAGAAAAAAGACAAACAAAAACGAAACTTACACCTAACATCAGAAAGTGACAGTTTTGGAAAATTTGGCATTCACTGGACATATTGAAGGCAAGAGGGACAGAAAGAAAAGCGTATAATTTACCTTACGAGCGTGGAGAGCAGGACAGTATTTAGGGGAGATAAGAATAAGGCAAAAATATCTAAGCGCTACAAAGGACAGGAAATTGTGAAAGGCAATGATTACCAATGTCCTGAAGGGACACGACACGTATAAGGAAAAGATTTAAGCACCTCGTCGTGGTGTAATGGTTAGCAAGATTGTCTCGATATAACAATTACGCCTGACTAGTGAGTCCGATCCTCACTGGGTGCCCCATAATTTCGGACTTGTGCCACATCTAAGCTATGCCTGGAAAATTAAGGGCACCTGGAGGTGATGTAATGGGTAGCAAGCTTGTCTTTCTACAACAATTACCCCTGAGTAGTGAGTTCGACCGACGTTGCTGTGTATTAGTTTTCCAAGAAAAGTTAGGGTAAACATCGACTGTTTTATATTTTAAAAGTTTTTTTTAGCAAGTTTCTTTTATTAACAATGCCTTATCATCAAGAATTACATTAAAAACATTTTTTGTCGATATTTCTAAGATAAGGTATTGCAATTATTCAGACTATTTACATTGTTCGGACTGTTGTGCTCATCTTTGTTGCCATAAAAGAAACCCCAGAGAAAGATTTACATGAATATATAGCGTAAATATGTAAATAAGCAGTCTTCTGGCGTTTGGAACGAATTAATCTCATTTGCATTAATTGCAATGGGAAAAAATGATTCGGTTCTCGAACAATTCGGTTTTAGAACAGACTTTCAGTACAAATTATGTTCGAGAACCGAGGTTGATTTGTATTAGTTTTTCAAGATAAGTTGGGCTAAACATCGATTGTTTTATTTTTTAAAATATTTTTCCTTTATTATTAAAGTTTCCTTTATTAGTAAAGCCCTATCATTAAGAATTACATTAAAATAATTTTCTGTTTATATTTCTGTGATGAGGTATTGCAATTATTCACAGTATTTACATTGTTCGA